TGAACACCCATAGATCTCAGAGAAGCATCTTAATGCTCCATCTTCACATAGTTTTCAAATGATTTCTATATATAATCAAGATAGAATCAGAGAAGTCAAACAAGCTTGCTACAAATTGATTAACCAAAGAGTATTTCAATCAATGCCCTCGTCTATAAATTGAGGACAATGAAAAGCATTTCTCAAAGTGCTTTTCCAGATATATCACCTCTGATCCCCACATTTGATTGGTCTCTGGGGTAATCATTGTGAGTGCTAGAGTACTATGTCCATTGTATAGATGAGGAAACTGAGACTGTCCTCTTGCCAAAGGTCACACCACTAGTAACAGAATAAAATTCAGAGCCCTGCTCTGACTACCACGCACTGCTTCCCTCACCTTCCAGGGACTCATGAGATCATCTATACCAACTGATTTGTCATTGCTTTAATGGGTATTATTAGGATCCTTTATTTCAGTCATATGAAAATCATGGAATTAAGGAATGACAGGGCCATGAGCCTCTTAAAGCTGATCTAGCCCCACCCCCTTTCATTTTGCAGGTGAGGCTCAGGAAGGTTAAGTGATTTGCCAAAGGTCACCCCCGTGAGTTAGTGGGAAATGACCAGTGTCATTTTTAAAAATTAGTTACAACAACTGCCTACCAAGCCCATTTTTATGGCTTATTTTAAGCAGGTTAATAAGTATACCAGGCACAGCTTTAAACCCAACTGAGTAAATGCTGACACTAGTTTATAGATTCAGCAGATAAGTAGCAATAAGGAATTATTCATCTCCCATTTATCATCCAGCCTCTCCAAGGTACAAGTTATAAAGGGACACAAATAGCAGTTTAAGAGCCCTCCCCTGCTCCCCCTTTCCCATGAGATCAAAACAGTGGAAACCAAGTGGCCTACAAGGCATACATTTAGACTGTGGCTATGCCTGGGATCTTCTGAAAGGTGAAAAAAAAGATATTCAGGAAAACTATTTGCATTTTACAAATAGGTACATTTCTATTTGTACCTATTCAGAATTCCATATTTGGCCTCCAGATTTATTAATTCATTCTTTTGAGTATGTATTGAGCACCTACTATGTGCAGGGTATTGTGGGGAATTATTAAATACCATTCTAGCCAGCAGGATTTTTTAAAGCTTAACAAAGTGACAGAATAGAGTACACACACACACACACACACACACACACACACACACACACTGGAACCTGGCATAGTCACCCAGTATAAATGGAACGTGTGCTTGGGAATAGGAGGAAAGGGGAGACTTGCCTAACTGCTGCTGTAGCCACAAGAAGCTCACTGAGAAGGTGGCCTTGCCACAACCTTGTCCCCAACAACATTTCTGTATCTTGTGAATGGGGTTAGAAAACGTCAGAGGCAAGAAGGGGGGAGGGGAACTGGACAGTGAATTTCTGGCCTTAATTAACTACCCAATCCTTCATTCATATATTAAATACAAGCAAACTGGTGGGGAGATGGGAAGGGAGTATTAGGATGCCAATAGCAGTTATACTATTTGTAACATGTGCCAAAAATGAACAAAATTAGCAGATGATTTGCTGCTTTGGGAGGTGAGCTCTAATAAATTCTCTTGTGTTATTCAGAAGAGCTGGTTTATTTTATTATTGTTGTTATTATTGTTTTAATCAAATCTGAGGCCCAAAGTTCAATGTCAATGACAGAGCCATCACAAAACCATAAATGACTTTGCTCTCAGCTGCTCAGAGAAAAGAAGTTCCTCCATGAGTCCCACATCCATAAAATGGAAGCATTTTCCAGTAAAAAGAAAACTTGCAAGATATTTACTCAAAACCCTTTCCTTTGTAGAGGAGGAAACCGAGGCTCAGAGTGTTCAAGTGACAAAGAATGACCATTTAACTTATGTGAAACTATGAGTGAATGTGGGTACTCATCCTCACACAGGACTCAGGACAGCAGGCTTACAGTGTCCTAGGCTCACCCTACGAAACAATGAGTCAGAACAAGGACCAAGTTCAGAACCCTGCCCATTATGCACCCCCACACACACATACACTTTGTTGCCTTATTTCTTTATTTTGAAGGCTAGCTATTTATGAGTCCTCAGGAAGGTTGGAAGAGTCTAGAAATGTAATATGTACTGAGTGTCCCTTTTAGATGGTCTACAAGGGGGCGTGGAATGACAGTTTTGAATATCTATGACTTCTTGGACCTCATTATCGCATCCTCATGCTGCCACCGACCCCCACCCCAGGGTTGAGCCAGGATCAATGTTTCCATCTTCCTGCAGAAGGTGGGGGCAGCAGCGGTAACCAGGTTCCCAGACTACCTCAGAGTTCACCTCTGCCTTATCGCTAATCCTCTGCCCCTGGTGATTGCATCAGGGTGAGGGAAGCGTGGCCTTGGGATGCAGGTTTATAGATGGGCGATATCAGTTCCTACAGCAGCATGTTGACATGGAAGAGCAGGGTACAACCAGGGTCCCAGGACACCTACTCCTAGCCCTGCCATTGAATAGCTGTGTGACTCCAGATAAATCTGTAGCCCTTTCTGGGTGTCACTGTCAGAGGGAGGCTCTCCTGTGACTGATATGTGGGCCAAAGGTACCTGGGGTTATGGTCACCCCACCAACTGAGGCACACACAAGCTAAGGTGCTGGAGAGACATCATGTGGCATGTTCTGCACGTGAGTGAGCTTCTCTCTGTTTGCACACAGTGGAAGGAACCATGGCATGTGTATTTCAGCCACATCCCTGGTACTATATCTTCAGTCATAAAGGGCAGATTTACACTGGGTAAGGACAAGTTAGAAACGCCAGTTTTCTAAGTTCAACAAACTTTTAAAAATATCTATTACACGTTAGAAACTATGGAAAACACAAATATGCCAAACATAGGATATGTTCACTTAGAGGATTGAAATTTGGGAGAGAGGGGTATGTAGATGGGTAGACATGTGAACAATATACTTATTGATAAATACAAGAGGTTAAAGGCTATGGAATCAGAGTGGGAAAAGGGATTGATTGTGGGAATGGGAGTTTAAGAAATAAAAAGGATTTTTTTTTTTTAAAGAAGGATATGTGCCTTAGCCAGTTTGGCTCAGTGGATAGAACATCAGCTTGTGGACCTACAGGTCCCAGGGTCAATTCTGGTCAAGGGTTGTAAGAGTCAATGATCCATGTGTTTCTCTAACATCGATGCTTCTTTCTGTCTTTCCCTCTTTCTTCCACTTTCCCTAAAAATCAATGGAAAAATATCCTTGGGTGAAGATTAACAAAGCGCTCATGCACGCGCGCGCGCACACACACACACACACACACACACACACACACACAGGAGGATATGTGAGAAGTGAGTCCTTGTTTTCCCCTCTTACATTCCTCACAGTGCCAGTGCCTTGCTTGTGGTGGCAGTATTTGGGTCTGAAATCAAACTACCTGTAAATCTTGACTCTGCCACCTAGAAAATAGGGCAAATTATTTAATAGTTTTGTGCCTCAGTTCTTTCATCTGTAAAGTGGGGGACATAGAGTAACTGTGTAGATAAATAAGATAATCCATGCAACGCACTTGTCACCATATCTGGCCTATCGTAAGTGCCCAGGGTTACCTGTTAATAACTGTTTGCCTAGAAAATGGATTGAATTTTTTATCTGCAGCCTAAGCTTTTAGCATACACATTCAGACTGGCCTGACATTTTTGGTTCCTCACTCGGGCTATTTGGTTCAGACTTAAGTGCCTGGCACTCCTGGGCTTCCACTGTACAGGACCAGGAAGAAGCCCTTTGGTATAGGATCCTCTGAGGCATAGACTGGCAGGATTTGGTGATATCCATTTGGGAAATCTTAAAGTCACAAAATGTTGATGTAGGAAGGGATCCAGTCTCTCCATCACACAGGCAGGAACTAAAGCTTAAGAAGTTACCGGATTTGCCTGTGGTGGCAGTGTGGGGATTAGAACCCAGGACTCCTGATTCCCAGATCTATGTGCTTGCACCATCCTTACCTGCTGCCTAGACCCTGACCCTCCTTGTACAGTGACTGTCTTGGACACAGCAACCTGGGATCTTTCCCTGCCCTCTCTCTATTCTGCTCCAGAGAAAAGACTACCCTGTTATCCAGTTCTTAGATCAGATCTAATGTAGAATTAGGGTCCAGCTAGGCCTGGACTCAAAGTAGGGGAGGGACTCAAAATGTGAGCCCCTTAAAGATCTGAATTAAGTTAATACCTTGACTCCTTTTTAAAAATATATATTTTATTGATTTATTTTATTTTATTTTTTATTTATTTATTTATTTTTACAGAGAGGAAGAGAGAGGAATGGAGAGTTAGAAACATCTATGAGAGAGAAACATTGATCAGCTGCCTCCTACACACCCTCTACTGGGGATGTGCCTGCAACCAAGGTATATGCCCTTGACCAGAATCGAACCTGGGACCCTTCAGTCCATAGGCCAACGCTCTATCCACTGAGCCAAACCTGTTTCGGCACCTTGACTCTTTATGAGCTGAGAATGCGTTGCGGGTAACAGGGTTTGTGATCCTGACATTAGTGTCCGTGGGGGCTTTCAGAGAAAGGCGGACAAAGGCACTACGGCAACCTGCCACCCGTTCTGCAGTGGGTCAGGCGCGGAGAAGCTGGCCTGGAGCCTTCTCCAGCTGGAAGAGCAGCGGGAAGGAGGCAAAGAAAAGGGAAAACGAGGCAAACCCAAGATGGACAGAGGCGAACTGGAGAAAGCCAGAGGGCAGGTGTAGGAGGAGCTCAGCTCGATCCTCTCTTTTCAAACAGAGCAAGTGTCTTCGCTATTCTGAAAGAATTCTCGCTCCATGCGGAAATGAAAACCGTAAAAATTGGGGGGGAGGGGAAGACACGCTGCAAACTTCCCTTCTTTCCATGTGGGTGCATTCACTTTTATTGACCTACTTAGCTTATCGATTGCTATTTTAAAATTCGGATGAGCTCCAGTGGAGCATTCACCTGCGCCCTGATTGCTCTCCTCCAAAGGTCTTGGAGACTCAGCCGCCGGCTACGTGAGCGGCGGCTGAGTCCCGCCTCAAGGGCGCGCGCGCCCCGACCCGCGGGGGTGGCCCTGTCTCCCCGGGGGAGCGCGGGCGGTCGCCGCGGCCTGGACGCTGGTACGGCCCTGGCGCCCCGGTAAGAGCCGAGCTGCGGGCGCGGGCGAGCGGTAGGGGGTCTCCGGGGCCAGGCCGCGGCCGCCGCAGGGGCAGGGGCGCGGGCGCCGAGGAGCCGGGGGCGGGAGCGAGGCGCCTGCGGGGAGGAAGCGGGGCCGCGCACGGGGCTCCTGGCCCCGGACGCGCTTCCGCGCCCGCCACCCCCTCCGGGAGCCGAGCCGGGGCCCGGGCGCGCCGCAGGGGCGGGGGCGGCCGGCCGGGGCTGACCCCGAGCGCCGCCGAGTCTGCGCCCGCCCGCCCGCCTCCCCGCGCTCGCCTCCCGCCGCCTCGGGTTACGCGGCGGCCGTCGGCGCGCACCTCATCAATAAGGCCTGACAGGCCGCCGGCTCCGCGGCCATCCATCACCCGGCGGGCGGCGGCGCGGGGCCGGGCGCGCGGGGCTCGGGAGCCGGTGGCCTCCGCGGGAGAGCCGGCCCCGGGGAGACGCCCGCCCGGGTGCACCAGGCGGCCGGGCCCCCTGTATGTAAGCCCCCCTCCCCCCATAGACCCTTGTGGCTCCCAGACAGCATTTCTCTATCCACAAAGATTTGACTTCCTTGCACCTCTGAATCTAGTGTCTTTTTCAAGGATCCGTTCATTTGTAATTGAAGATCCGCAAGGGAGCTTAGAACCGACTGAGCACCACCCGAACATTCCGCAGGTGGAGAAACTGGGAGGCAGAGCGGGAGGCTGAACATGCCTGAGGTCACTGGACATCTGTGACTCTCAGCCCTAGCGCAGCCATATGGGTATTCTGCAGGACCCAGGACCCATATGCATGTGTGCATGTTGTAGGTTGCGGGTGTGCCTGTCAGTGCATGAAATCTACATTTCCTGCCCCAAGTCTGGTCACCGCGCGTGTGCGTGCGCGGGCGATGAGATCCAGAGAATAGTAAATGCGGCAAAAGAGTGTGTGTGGGGTTGGGGGTGGCATCCGAGGGAGGATGTCAGCCCAAGGAATTAACATGATTTCTTTTCGTGCACTTAATCTGCCCCAGCACTTGTTGTCAGGACTCTTCCTCCTTGGTCCGAACAGTTTAAAGGTAGAAACGTGTGTTCATCCTTGTATCTCCAAAGTTTGCATGGTGCCTGGCACGTAGGTAGTAAGCATTCAATAAACGTTTACTATATGAATTGCAACACTTAGAAGGGAATTCAAATCATTCAGGTCCAGAGGATTTGGAGGCTGGAAGAATTCTCAGAGCATGGTATCCGATTTCATTTCATTTCAAAAGAAGGAGACCGGCTGGCCTCCCTGGCTTTGATTTACCCAAAGCCACCCAGGGGGTAAGGTCAGATCTATGGTGGGCCCCAGTGTTTTCCATCCCCACCCCTAACGCTGCTGTTCCACCAAGCTCTCCCGGTATGGATTCACTTCTTCCCTTCCCTTCTTCCCTTCTCACCTTTTGGTTCTTCCACTGCTTCATTAGCAAGCTCTCCTAGGAGGGGGTGAGAGTATTAGGAAATTGACAAAACCAAACTGTTTGCTTTGTTCCTAACAGGAAACACAATATTTTGTGGGGGGTCTTTTTGTTGTTGGTGGTGGTGGTGATGTTTTATTAGTTTGGATTTTTTTAAATTTTTTTTTTAGTCCAAGTGAAGAAGGTGAGAAAAAACTGCTGACCATTGGGTGTCTGTTAACATTAATTTTTCCTCTATTACCGCACTGGTTTGACTGGAGTTAGAAACAATGATATCAACACCTCTGGGCAGGAGTAGAAATGATCACATACACAATCTCTCTTTCTCTCTCTCTCTCTCTCTCTCTCTCTCTCTCTCTCTCACACACACACACACACACACACACACACACACACACACACGCCGTTTTTATTGAGCGGAAGAGGAAGGTAGCAAAGCCATCCTGTAGCCCAGGAGTCAATGTCTTTTGGGCTCTCCGTGATGCTACTAGATTATGATTTTTGTAAATGCAGGTACGAAGTGTACCAGTGCACACTTTCTTCCAGTTACCATTCATCTACATCACAAGCTACAGCTGGGTAATGTGTAAATTGTTGTAAAAATCAGAGCTAAAGAACAACTTCTGCAGAACTGATGTGAATAAGACCTCATACAGGAAAGGCAATGCTTCACCAAATGCTTTTCCCTTAGTCCATTCAGATATACAGTCCTACTCTCAGGGGCAAACTCATTCCTTCAGAGTCAGCCCTTGGCTTACTCTTGCCTCCTGGGACCAGCTAGACAAAAACCAGTCTCCCCTGACTGACTGGGTTCTGGCCAGCTGGGTCTCCTATTCTCCAACCGCCACCAGCAGATTGCTTAGTGAGTGGCAGCATTGTTGAAAGTGACTTAGCAAAGGCCCGGCTGGCTGGCTGGCCAGCATGGCTCAGTTCCATGGTTCATGGAACATCAACCTATGAACCAGAAGGTCACGGTTTGATTCCAGGTCAGGGCACATGCCCCAGGCTACGGGGCTCCCTCCCCAGTGTGGGCCATGTAGGAGGCAGCTGATTGGTGATTCTCTCTCATCATTGCTGTTTATATCTCTTTCTTCCTCTCCCTTCCTCTCTGAAATCAATAAGAATATATTTTTTAAATAAAATTTTTAAAAAAAGAAAGAAAGTGATTTAGCAATCTCTAGAGCCTGCTGCTTGGCTTTAGGACTTTCAGGATGAGAAACTGAAAAATCCTCCCTCAGATGCCACCTTCCCTACCTGCAGCCGCTGTGAAATATGAATGTGTGTGCATCGAATTTACACTGAGCTATATCCAGGGTTATCTGCTGCAACCATTCCTGCAGACCATGTAGAAGATGAACCTTGGAAACTGGATCCTTTTTTAAAATTTCTTAATATTTTTATTGATTTCAGAGTGGAAGGGAGAGAGAGAGAGAGAAAGAGAGAGATATATCAATGATGAGAGAGAATCATTGGTCAGCTGCCTCCTGCAAGTTCCACACTGAGGATCAAGCCTGCAGCCTGGGCATATGCCCCAGCCAGGGATCAAAGCCATGACCTTCTGGTTCATAGGTCGATGCTCAACCACTGAGCCACGCTGGCTGAGCTGGATCCTTTTTAAAGTGATGCAAAGATTTATTTTGTAGATAAATCATTCTTCTGAAGTATTTTAGGTGGGAGTCAAACATGTACCAGGGATGTGGAGTCTCCCTAAAGACTGGGGATGGGCGTGTGTGTGTGTGTGTGTGTGTGTGTGTGTGTGTGGAGAGAGAGAGAGAGAGAGAGAGAGAGAGAGAGAGAGAGAGAGAGAGAGAGAGAGAGAGAGAGAACTGACTGAGGCTTTTATCTTGCCCCAGCCATACTTTCTTTCCCCCCTGCTTTTTCAGAAGTCTGACTTATGGAGGTGAAATTTACATTCAGTAAATTCATCCTTTTTCATGTACAGTTCTATGAGTTTTGACAAATACACAAATGGTGTAACCACCATCACAAGCAAAACAGGGAATAGTTCCAATATTTCACAAAATTTCCTCTCCTCTCTGTGCAACTGCCTCGTCCCTAACCCTTTGCACCAGCAACCACTGATCTGTTTACTGTCCCTACATGAAAATGTCATATACCTGGTTCCTTTAGAATTTTGAGTCTGGCCTCTTGCATGCAGCATAGTGCATTTGAGATTCATTCATGTTGTTGGGTGTATTGGTTGTTCTTTCTTTTTCGTTCCTGATTAGTGTTCTCCTTTATGGATGTACCTCATCTGGTTTCCCATTTTCCTGTTGAGGATCATATGTGTGGTTCGCAGTTTGGGGCCATTATGAATAAAACTGCAGAGTTTAAAGACACCTGACAAAAATGCTAAGTGGAAGTGGAAGAGAGGAGAGAGAGAGAGAGAGAGAGAGAGAGAGAGAGAGAGAGAGAGAGAGAGAGAAGAGAAGAGAAGAGAAAAAAGCTGAGAGAGGGATGAGAATTCAGGGCTTTTAAAGTGGAGCAGACACATTTCTCACTTGGTGATTGAAAAAATGATCATTCTTCACTGATAAGGCGTTGTCTTATACTCTCTTCTCTGAGCTCTCCACTCCATCCTTGAGAGCCCACTCTGGGCTACTGGAACTGGGCTTCGTGGGTGAGGGGAGATTCTGCCTCTCACGGGGGAAAGGCCAGCCCCTGAGCTGAGGGGGGATGAGATGGGGGAGGAAGGACAGAACAAAGTTAGCCCACACCCCTGGGGCTAGCTCTGCACCTTCATAGGGAAATCCTGCCAGCTCCCATCATCTAGGTGCTGATTATTCCATCTCCTCAGACCCTTGGCTTCTTGGTTTTTCTTCTACAGTTCTTGCCGTTTGACGATTTGCTGTTCAGTAGCATTTAGCTGAAGAGGGACTGGGGCTGCGGAAGGAAGCAGATTGTAAAGGTTTTCAACCAAACACAGGTATATACGGGGATTGAAGAGAAAAGTGAAAAATAGAGGCCCAACTGAGTGGTCGTGGACCTATGAACCAGGACGCCCCTGTTTGACTCCTGGTCAGGCCACACGCCTTGGTGCAGGCGATCCCCAGTATGGGGCGGGCGTGCAGGAGGCAGCTGGTCAATGATTCTGTCTCATCATAGATGCTTCTATCTCTCTCCCTCTCCCTTCCTCTCTGAAATCAATAAAAAAAAAAATATTTTTTTAAAAAGTTGAAAAGAGCTCAGAAGAAATGCAATGCCAGGGATCTTCCAGTCTTTTTTATTCACCGAAATAGATAGGCTTAGCCATGGGAAGCATCGTGCCTCCTTCCTCCTCTCTCTACTGTTGCAAGAAACTAATTATTTCCAAACAAGAACTACCTTCAAGCCGATGGGTGTTAGGGAAAAGGCAGCCCACTCTCTAGGGCCCCTGCTGTAAAGGGGGAGGGGGGCATTTGAGGCGATGTTACTGTCCATTCCTTGTCTTTCCGCTGCTCCGCCGACGCCCCCCCCCGCCCTCCCTGCGGTCCCTGCTTTCAGCGAGAGACGCTGTTTTCGCACTTGGGCTTCGCGCTTCCGTGACATTTTCCTGTCTCCCACTTGGCTGCGTCAAGTCTCGGCGCCTGCCTGGGCGGCTTCTCCAGCGCCAGGTCACCTCGGCTCCGGCTCCGCGGCCAGGGGAAGGGTGCCGAGGCCGATGGGGCGGTGGCGGCGGGTGCGGAAGCGGCGAGTAGACAGACGCTGGGAATGCCACGTCCCTGGTGGCCCCACAAGGCCCCCCTCCGCCTACACAATATGCACGTGGAGTCAGGAGACTGGCCGAGCTCCAACTGCCAGTGTCCCCATCGCGATCCCTGCCCTCCCCAGGAGCCTGGCAGGGGAGCCCTGGACTCCGGGTCCATCACGCCCTTGTCCGGTGCCCTCTACTCCGATCCGGCCCAGGCCCTTACTTCCCATTTCTCTCTCTTGCTTTCCCCTCTCTTGGGGTCTAGATTCTCTATTTCAGTCTCTAGGTCTCTTGGCTTTTATCTCGTCTTCTTTCTCTGGGCCCGAGGTTCCTCTCTGCCCTCTCTCTCTGCCTGCCCTTGCCTGATGTTTTATTTTATTTATTTTTTCCCCATAAGACTCCACCATTTACTA